CGTGTTAAGCTCAGTTCTTTTGTGAATAAGTGTGACTCGAACGAGAGTTTGTCGTATGGTTATAAAAACAGGGTAACAGGATACCATATTATTATTTACCTAATGCTTCAACTATCGTTGTAGAATGAACTGGCGAAGGCCATCATCACCGCCAGATGATATGGCAAAAATCTTGATCGTAAAAGAGTGCCGATGAGAATTAATGGAATAGCGTTTTTTGCACGGACGAAATTCTTCGATCGATGTCTCTGGAGGTGGTTTCTTTGGTCACGAAGACTTAATTAAATACCAAGACGAGGAAATGACTCGTTCGTACCTCTTTTCGAAGATATTTTTTTCGGTTAATACATTTTTAAGTGTTTCAAAAAGAACGAGATTAATTATTGTATACACTCGCACTACACGGCAATAAGACTAATAAGGTGCTATCGAGGTGACAACCGGTAAGATGAAACACGCGAATATTAATCGGGCGACGCCGCTGAGTCTATCAGCTCGTCTAATCACATAAATTGATAAGGCGATTCCGAGACGAGACCGTAAACCAACATAGGGACGAGAGATCGAGAAGGAAATGATGATGTTATTATTGTTATACATATTTTTATTATTATATTACCTATACCGTACCCCGTATCGTCGTCGTCGTCGTTGTCGTGACGTCACCGTTCGCGTCTCACTCCGGTCCGCGTCGTAGTCGCACACTTGGGTGGTCCGTCGTGGCGTGGCTGCGGTAACCGCGCGCGCGCGCTGCCTCAGTCGACGATTCGGTTTTGTGGTGCGATGTGCGCGTCTTGCTCGTCGTTCTCCCGTCCTGGTCGCCGCCGCCGTCGTCGCCGTCGTCGCCGTCGAGTCACAGCCGTACCGAAGTTCGCGAGATCGCCGTCGTCACTCGAGAAGCATATTCGTGACAACCGTCATCCGTCGTGTACCTTAATCGTGTAGCAGTACATAATCCAAGACCGTTTAGTTCGGTCGCCGTGCGAACAGCTACAAAGTGACGTACGCCATGCACCCACAGGTCTGTAGTCCCAAAATAGCAGAGACGATGTAGAGGGTATGTCGATGATTCGGGTGGAAGGGAAAACCGAGTCCGAAAGTTTTTGTCGTCTTCAGACGAAATAGTATAATTATTATAATGGTCCTGCAGGAGTCTATAATGAGTGTGCCGTCGTATCATAGCCCGTATTGTAGGTATATGTCGTTACCCTTATGATACTAACGTCATAGTATTAGGTACATACCGTGATTGCGGCTCGCTTACACGAAACACCTGTTGTTGTCGGGCTGAAAATAAGTACGTAAAATTTCAATATTTTGCCCACTGCTGCCACAGTTGTTCATAGTCGACAGAGTCAGGTTGGTGACGACACATTTTGTTAGCGTTTTCAATGACAACTTTTTTAAGAATTTGAATTGTTTCGGATGTGGTATGTAGATATAAAAAAAAATATTATAATACCGAGGAGCTAATTTTAGAAATCGACGAGAAAAGTTCTGGTTCGTCGCGGCGATCTAGTTATTTTCTAATTTCATATTTGAGCAATAAAATTGTTGCCCGCCGACTCGAATAAAATGACTCTATAATTGTGGCAGATATATTGTAATCACAAATATATCTCGTATAAGGCCTGGAAACTGTCCAGTGACGACGATATTTCTGAAAATACATTTCAACATGTTGTTTTGCTGTCAGAATCGTGTCTGCCATCAAAAACTAGTGTTTTTATTAATTCTTTACGTCATCAGGGACAAGTGATAAAATTTTTTTTCAAGTTTCTTTCACTTCATTGGCCATGTAGGAAAATTGGCTAGCCAAAAAAATTACCATAATAATAATACAACTGTTTTATGTGTCAAACTGAACGTCACCGCCAACCCTCAACAAAATATATTTTATTCATGTCTACGTCCTTAGTATTCGACCGGTCCACATAAAGTACCACGTAAAAGAGAAACATTTATATATATATATATATATATTATAAAATACGAGTTGTTGAATGTAGGTACACCTGATTTTATTTTATTTATTTATTTTTTTTTTTTTAGTGTGTAATTCTCACAGGGTATAAATATTTCTACAAAGAATCGGCAAAAGGGAGAATAATAATATAATAATATAATATAATGTGGACGTCGAGAGAGAACAAGTCTCAATACATCTGTATAGCAGGGCAGAAAGGGGGTGGGGAAACAAAAAAAAAGGACGGCGAGAATTCAAAATTCAACGTCCTGCTGTTCGGTTCTAAGAAATTCACGGCCAGTTGCATTCCATCACTGGCATTATTATATCGAAATGTTTATCTGTGATCTAACAAATTGAACACATGCCTAAACTACCACCAATCATACTTCGTCGTCGGCCGTCCGGTGCAATGATAAAGAGGAAACCGTGCGCGGTGTTTTCTTACTTTGAATTTTTTTTTTGTCTCTCAAATCTAATAGTTTAAGTTTTTTCGATTATTCAATTTGCCGCCACACGGTGAAAAAAAGAATGAAAGCAAAAAATGAACATGACTAAAACGCTCGGCCGTAAACTGTAAGATAAATACAATATAATCGTAGTGTCGTTGTTGCCATGTATTGGTATGTGAGGGTGAGGTGAGAGGAGGATACAACGGGAAAGAAAAAATATTGCCGAGGATTTATAATAATAAATGAACATAAATATATTATTATTATGAGTCGTGTATTTGAATAACGCAGAAGAATTAATGACCCATAGTTCATCCAATCCTTATGGTCACGAACTCGTAATGTTAAAAAATTATAATTGAAAGATTAAATATTTGGTGTCTAGATACTATATACCGATTGAGAAGTAATATTGTTGTACACATTTTATAATTTATATTTTAATACATAGGTACTATCGATATAGTATTCATAAATAATTACTACCTACTATCACTGTAAAATTATGACTAAATGATGTCCGTATTTGAATTATAACGATGCGTGACGCAACGAACGATCAAAACGGAAGCTACATACACTAAAAGGCGCGTCTTCATCTTTGTAATTGATATGACGAAGTAGTCTCGAATAGCATTATGTAAACATGCGTGTATACAAATGTAAACAGAGTGATTCTTTTATTGTGAATCAGTAAATATCTTAGTGAATTTTTCATTTTTATTTTTTTTCCATAGTTGTAAATAGACATTTATAAGTTTTTATTCTTAAAATTTAAAATTTAAAAATTCATCCGATTTTTCTAGGATATTTTCTGATTTACGATAAAAAAAAATCATTATGCACCTCATGTATATAATATTATACATAGTTGGCAACGTGCTATACCCGCTGCAACCATGACGAAGAACACGCAAGAAAATAAATAAAATATTACGATGAAAAGCCTCTCCCGGAAATAGTTCACAGGATGCCAATTGTATATACATTTAAGTACGAGTGTGTATCGGTATATATAAAATATAATATGTTCCTCTATGTGTAGAGGTATATAATACGCCACCGCCGCCGACATCTGAAAATAGTGTCGTAAATCAACAGCTCGCTCTCGCCGCCGCACATGGCCCCGGCCATCGTCGTTAAAATAAAACTCTCTTTTCAAAAAGGACAACACCGACTTGTCCGGAAATTTTACAGCACCGCTGCCAGTGCTTCTTCTGTCTACCACTCTTGCTGCTTCTCGTATTATCCATAATATTATATATAGGTTGTCAGCCGACATGATTCGTTTAGCACTGAACACGTTTTTTTGATATACAACAACTGTGCGTCGGTTCTCATTTCTCGTTTTTATTTTTACAAATCCTATCCGGGATGATGAGCCACAACAGACGACGACCACAACACCGCTTGAATTTTACTATAAGACGTACATATTATATAATATTTAGTTACTGCCACCATTCGTCACCAGACGACCATTACGAATCGTCACTGTCATCATATAATATCCTTGTGTTCCACGCATAGACATTCCCACGTCTAAACAAATAACACCACTATTATATTATCTTGATAATACTATGAAGGCAATCGGAAAATTCTTTTGTCGCAATAACGTACGAAGACTTGTAATAGTGGTGAGAGAACAATTTTTAACGTACAAATTTGAGTGAATTGGATAATATATAACTTAAATTAATTTTACGATCGACAATATAAATAATAGTTAAAATTATATACATACATTTATGAAGGAAAATATATTAATATATCTTACATTATATTATACGTATGCAGTTAATTTATTGTGATTTAATAATAATTTTAAGACCACTAGTTTTTTTTTTTTTTTAATCACAATCGAGTTTTATGAACTCATATTATTTGTTTATTAGTGAAAATCTTTAATGTTATTATTTATGACAGCTAAAAATAAACTACTTTCGCATGTTATATTTTATACTATTTTTTTAAATCTTTATCAGTCGCTTTGAGTTTCTTAATTTTTAAATAATAAACAAACGACTTGTATTGTGTGTTTTATAGTAATAATGTAAATGGACTTTTATACGCACTGTGTTTATTCGATCGTTGTATTAAGTTGTTCCATTTTATTGAACACAGCATGCGAATATAGGTAATTGGTAAAAGTTATATTTTTTATTCTTTGGCAATAAACTCGCTGTTGTCAGTAACAATAATAATAATTAGTATGAAAGCAGAGTTTACTTGGATTTGAAATTCAGAATAATCAACGAGTTAGTATGTACACGTCTTTGACCCATAAGTTTGTCTGACGGCGCTTTTCGGTTATGTTATGTTGTATGCGTATAGGATTTAAATAACCACCCGATACACGAATAGACACAACTCCTGCAGTGAATTAGGTGTCGTATTTTATGGGGCCTGCAAAGTTTATGGTTTTGTTTAGCAAGCTGTTTATATTCGGTGGAAGTCAATTCGGTAACCAGCTCACCCGGGGTCCTTGCACCATTGATAATAATTTTACTAATACACTATTATATTATAATTATATGTATGTATATTTATAGCCATGTGTGTATTTTGATTGTTTACAGCTTAGTCGGGAGTTGCGGTGTTGGAGGATCAGGTGACTTAGTTCGGAGGGGGGCGGGTGGCGTCCTGCCGCCACACCATCCGCACCCCCATCCAGCCGATTTCCCCCATCCGCTTCGTTTCAACTGTATGGATATCTGTTCGTCGTTTGCAACAGTCGGTTCCCTGAGTAAGTTTAATAAATATAATAAATATTTATTTAAAGGATAATATTATTTTGATTTCCTCGAAACTTGTTCAGAAAGGTGAATATTATAATGAATATTAGATAACGTTTGAACAATGCTTAGTTACTAGCATTTTTTTTTTTTTTATATTAAACTTCAGTATTTGCATAATGTTTAAAACATTTATTGTCATCTTTGATATAATTTAGTTTAATTATTATAATTGTCATCTTTGTCCTTTCCATTTGTTATTATATAATGAAATGAAAAAAATAAATGTCATTGTAATTGTAATAAATAGTAATAAGTAATAACGCAATTGAAAGAATTATGCATAATTGAAAAAAATGTATGCAATTTTTAATTTAAAAAATATTTTCATAATACATTTAGTTTTGATTTTTAACATTCTGTTCAATTTTTTTTTCACCTTCTTTTCAACGGTTAGACTCTTAACTCATATATAAAATATATAATTTATATATATTAATCACTATAATTGTTGTATTAATCATCGTAAATTGTGATAAATAGGTTCGGGTCTGTGTAGCCCGTTGGCACAAAGCTTTTCGCGTCAGGGCAAGAAACGGGCGCTGTCTGTGTCGCCGTCCCCAGACCTGGAGCTACATGGCAGGATTCGGTCATCGCCGAGTGCACTATACTCGGCTGCCGCAGCGTACGGCGCTTCGTGCTCTAGGAGCTCGAGTACGTCCGGTTCGTACGGCCACCTGAATCCGCTGGCGTTTACTATGCAGCATCACCCGTCCGTCATATCGCCTCAAGTTCAACAGTTGTTGCGATCCGCCAGTGGCTTGCATTTGCCGTGGCATAACGCTGCTGCCATGCCATCATCCGCTCATCATCCTTCGTACAACATTCATATGTTACCTGTACCCTCACAGGACTGCAGTTCACAGGCAAGTAGTTTCTATATTTATGAGATCTTTTTTTTCGTTATGTGTTGTTATGTATAATTCCATATGGTTATTAGATGTTGGCCAACGACATGTGCAAGGTCAAACAAGAACGCTCCAAATCAAAATCGACATCAGCTTCAAAAAAGTCTTCTCAAAAAGTTGTTGAAGACTCGAAACAAAACTCACCAGAATCTATCAGCGATCTTAAAGGGGAACCAGATTTTATCGAGACAAACTGTCACTGGAAGAACTGTAATTTAGAATACCAGACTCAGGCTGTATTAGTACAGGTACATATCATAATATTTATTGTCTTCATTACTATTCAATATTATTTTCAATTCACAATAATTATTAATATTAAAAAAATATGCCGATATCAAATTCATTAAAATGTGTAGTTGCTCGAAGCAAAGTAAAATTAATTGCATAACTCAACGCCAGTCATACAACAACATCAGAATATTAATACGCTTACCGTTTTTCTTTTATATAATGATAATGCGATGACTTTATAATATTATTATATTCTTGTGATTTGCAGCACATCGTTAATGATCATATTCAGGCGAACAAAAAGTCATTTGTATGCCAGTGGCAGGATTGTTCTAGAGCCGAGAAGCCATTCAAAGCCCAATACATGCTTGTGGTACATATGCGAAGACACACTGGAGAGAAGCCACATAAATGCACGGTAATTGATTTACCTCTAAGTTTTGTTAATATAAATCGAACGTATATGATAGTTACTGTCAGATCTTTTGTATATATTATAATTATTAATTAAAATATGAAAAATCTATACCTTAATATACTTTAATTCTTAAAATATATTACCAAAAATAAATAAATTTGACCATTTATAAATACGTATGATTTTATACTTAACGTCTACATGATATTAAAAATTAACGTAATGTGAATTTTACAGTTCGAAAAATGCACCAAAGCTTATTCGAGGTTGGAAAACCTAAAAACTCATCTCAGATCTCATACCGGCGAAAAGCCCTATACTTGTGAACACCCTGGTTGCAGTAAGGCTTTTAGCAATGCTTCCGATAGAGCAAAACATCAAAACCGCACTCATTCTAGCGAGGTAAATATAACTTTAAAAAGTATACTATTCAGTGTTTATAATTTTTTTACTTTTATTATGAGCGGGCTTGAGGTATTGTAAAATATAATATAATATTAAATTGTTTATTGTATGATATACTATATAAAAATAATACTTTTTCTATTTCAAAGTTTGTTTTGGTGAAAATGTATGTTTATTATGTATATAATATAATATTTTTAATTTATGTGTATGCAATCAGTTGGGAAAATTGAATAGGTGAGATCGGGTTTACTAAAAATCGTTCGCTGAAATAGTACTAACGTAAAGTTTTTTATTTTTTAGAAACCCTATATATGTAAAGCTCCTGGATGTACAAAACGTTACACCGATCCTAGTTCCTTGCGCAAACACGTCAAGACGGTTCACGGAGCTGATTTCTATGCGCATAAACGACATAAAGGCAATGGAAATGGCGACAACAGCCGCGGTGGAGGAAGCGGTGGTGGCGGTGGAGGTAGTGGCAACGGCCCGGGTGCTGACGACGCGTCACCGTATCGGAGCGATGAGATGCCGATGAGTGCCAAAACCGTTAGCGTGTCTAGTCCTAGTATAAAATCTGAAGTACGCACCTACAGCATTCCTAAAATAAATTGAATTTTAAAAGATCATTTGGCTTTATTTTAGTTTGATTTATTTATATAATTTGTGTTCTCTCTTTTTTTTCCTATAGGAAACAAATTCCCCTGGACAGCAACCCAGTCCTATGAGCGTTCCATATAGCAATAGAATGTTTCACGACGAACCTATTAGTGACAGCAACCATAGTGCAGACGCTTTGGATGATAATTGGGTTGAAGACGGACATGAAGACGTGAGTGTTTACTATACATCTTATTAAATCTCATCGGCGGCGCCGAATTTAGTTTAAGCCATAAACAATTTAAATAATTGACAATTTATTTGACTTTTTTAGTTATTCGACTTTATACCAATGCACTCCGAAATGGGAATGGTTACTTCGGCACCTATGGTCCGAAGGATGCGACGGTTTGTGCCACATGTTGGATTGAAGCACGTCGCAGCCGGTGAATTATCGCCTATGTCCGACTTGAGTTCAGGACACGGAAATACTTCTGGTATGCAAGAATTAAATAAGCAATTAACTGATATGAAAATGATATCTAATCAAGACACAATACGGAGAGAAAGCACGTTTAGTAACTACTGGAGCATGAAGTCTGACCACAGTCGCAGGAATAGTCAAGTACGTATACAAACTTGATTTGAGAAAAATAGTTTACACATTGAATAACTTTTGATTTCTTTTAGGTGCCTTCCGAGCATCATAGGTTAAGTAACGCCTCGTCCTTATACGATCCGATTTCTGTGGATTATTCACCTAGTCAAGCAAATACAGCCATGGGTCCTGATATGGATGTATGTACCTAAAAGAAGACATTCAAATATTATTTGACGTCTATATATTTTTATTTCGGTTTTTAGGCGTTTACCGATAACGAAGAATGCAGGCAGATGCCAGAAAGTGCAAAAATGTCAAGACCTCAAACTCGCCAAGCCGGAGCCGTACATCATCCCAACTCTAATATCAACCTTGACGAGGTCGGTGAGGGCGAATCACTGGAGAGCAAAATGGTTCTACCCGATGATTTTGACGACGTCATTAAGGACATGGTGAGTTATCGTTGTTGCGTTGGCGATAAAACCCAGAAATAATATTATAACGCGAGTCACAGTGTTGTAAACGATTTTTGTTTAATTATTTTTTTTTTCAGATAAGTGAAAAAATCGACGATTACGATCTCGGCGCTTTCGACGCGGAAAAAACCATCAACGAACTGACCGAATCCGCTCTGGAGAACATCCCCACGCTGACCCCGCCCATCGTTCAGGAAACGACTAACGGCGCCGGCAACGGTCAAGCGTTGACCAATTCCGTGGCTCCCGTCGTTTCGCCGCCCACTCTGAACGATAGGCCCACCAAAGTTCCACCAGCCAACAGCTACAGGAACATGCGCAGCAACAGTTTACCGGTCAACTGGCAGGGACAGGCGCAGAGCTACGGTCAGGGCTTGCCCGGTGCGGCGTACAACCCTCAATTCCAGAACCAAAGACCGTACCAGGCCAACCACCCGGCGATGCTGTTCGGCACCACAACCACCAACAACAACAGCAACAACAATAACTTTAACTTCGGACCGATGATGCAGCAGAGGCAGAACGGTGGACGGTACTCGTATTCGTCCAACCAGGACTTCGTCAACTACAACCAAAATTACGCCAACTTCAGGCACAACGGCGGACAGCAGTACCACCAATTGAAGAACAACAACAATCAACACTACCAACTGAACAATAACAATAGCAACAACAACAATAACAACGCCAACACCACCAACAACAACAACAACAACAGCAATAGCAACAACGGTCAGCAGTTCCACGGCCAAGCAAATGAAAATGGGTATTACGATAACAACAGCGCCACCCCAAGCGCGTACCATAGATGCCAGAGGACCGCCGCCGGTAACGGAGGACAACAAGCCGCGACGGTGGGACAAGCGGCCGTCGCGCACGGCATGCAGTCGTATAGCCACGGATATTACAACGGTGGCTGTAACAACCAACAGTGCGGTCAACAGCAGTGCGGCCAACAGCACAACAACAATTACTACAACAGTGGTTATCATCAGAACAACGGCGGAAAATTCAATAACTGTTACTCGAGACCGAACAGTCACCACCAACAGATGCAGAGCCAGCAGACCCATCAGCAGCAGCAGCAGCAGCAACAACAGCAACAGCACCAGCACCAGCAACAGTACTATACAGATCTGGACCGTAAACCGGATACCGGAACGACGGTGGCCGCGGGCCCGATGGAAGAACAATCCTCTTCCTTCCGGCCCGCACCAGAACCCCAAGAGTTCGACAGCAGCAACAACATGGTGCTTAAGGACATGTCCACATCATTGAGCTCGCTGTATGATGAAAACACCTTTTTCCAAATGTCCACCGTGTTCTCGGAATCATAACCATTTACGTATATTTTATTGTACAGAATATTTAAAACTATAGTTACCACTGTTTTGTAAGTGCTCTCCTCCCCCTCAAATGAAGTGTTGATGATTTGTATTTGTAATTTTTATATATTTTTTTTTTTTTCTGTATAACTGGTCATTAATGATAAACTTTTGTTAGATTTAAGATGAATGCAATTTTAAATTGGTGCATTTTTTCTATATTTTGTATAACGTAGATTTGAAAAAGTAAAAGATGAAAAAACTATAAATCCATTGGATTTATGTATATATGTTAAAATTTATAATTTTATTTATTTAAATGTAAGTATGTAATAAACTTATAAAATTTTATTGTTATAAATTTGATCTTCATTTTAAGACTTTTATTTATTTTATTTTGTTAAAATGAAATCATAACTTTCTTGTATGTTTGATTTAAGATGGTACATTTTTTTTAATTAAAAAAAGTTATATTTAATACTTATTTGTCTTTGAAAAACACTTTCATCTATTTATATCTGATTTTAATGTATTTGAGTACCTACTCTCTTAATGTACTATCGAGATATTCATGAAAGGATGGTCAATAAGCAGGTAAAAAATATTTATATTATTTCATTACATAATGACAGACTATAGTAGGATAAATAAAAACACTAAATCAAGTCAATACAATTTATTGGTAAAAAACAATGTATTACACAGAATACACATTTATGATGATGTTAGTATATTTTATATTATAAAAAATATAATAATTTATTGCAAGTTTCCTCACCACCTTAGCACATTATGAAAATCGATTTATATCAATTTTAATGTTGCATGAGGTATTGCATGTGGCGCGTTTTTATTGTGGTTTCCCCGAGTATAAACTTTAGGCCTAGTCCACACAGAAGATAATGAGGGAAAACTGTCACGATTAATAGTGTAATGCATATTTTCAGCTTAAATAATTAACCTGCTTTGGTAAAATTTTGATTTATAAAATAATATTTTATGTGACCGAATATCTCTCATTACCCTCATTGACAATGCTGAATTCATGACGTACATAATATTAATGATGATTAAATAAAAGGGTACTCTACCATTAAAATGTTATATATTAACATTGTGAAGTAATTTCGTTTATATTGATATATTTTTGTCTACTGAATTCAACATTGCACACATATCTGAAAAATAAATATAATTCATACGTATCTATTAATATTATAATACCTATATAAAGCAAATAGTTTTAATTTAAATAAAATTATTAAAATTATTTCTTAAATTCCACTTACCCTTTTACTACCGCTCTAATTTTATAATCGTGTGACAGAATAAACATATTTTTCACGTTTCATTAATTCTATTATGCATCTATAATCTTACATGTCCTTTATGAACGCCATAGCTATTGTGATGTGAGTATGAAAATATTAGATAGATAAAGACACAAGAATCCTCAGTGTCTATCTCCAAAGTCTTCTTGAAAATTTCATTAAAACAAAACATTAAAATTAAAATTAAGTTTTGTAACACAACTACTATAAAAATAAACTAATATTGCATTATGAATGAAAATTGACAGATAAGTAATTGAAGAACAAAATAGAATGAAATATGAGTTTGTGTCAAATAACTTACTAACTGACGATAAACATTATAAAATAAACATTATGTTTAAATATTATTTATTTGTTATTCTATTTGGCCAGCACAATATTATGATTTACTGATCATTACTTTAGCCAATGCATGCAATGTTATGTTTATTAAATTTATTTGTTATAAAATAAGTTATTGATGTTCTATTAGCTTTTATGGTGCTTTACTCGGGAAATCAAAATAATGAGAGAACTTAATACTTCAATTTGATTTACTGATATCAACTATAGCAATACGAATGTCAGACCCATATTTTGCTCTAAAAATACTTTTCAAGGTCGAAGTGCTTTTGAAACGTGAAAGTTGTAAAAATAGTGATATATAAGAAAATAATTCTAAGTAAAATACGAGCCATCAGTTTAGAGGTTGGTAACGACACGACCTAGAGAGTTAAATCTGTATTTCGATGATACACATAACTAAAATAAAATCTGCGATTACAGGCTACACACCGCGTAATATAAATGTACAAAGTTGTACTCAATAAACAAAATTATTATATCTAAAAATTGCATAAATTAAAATATCAAAGCTACACTTTCGGCAAACTATTATGTTTAGTATTTCATTTAAATTACTGCTAATAGCAGTTTTGAATAAGTTATACAATGTTATGACCAAATTCATCAAAACGTCGAAAATTTACAAATAATTGTGGTATTTTGAGATTTTTAAAAATTTTCTTTTTATAACCAAGACTTTAAACGCAATACAAGATTTCTTATTAATTTTTCTTTATAACAAAAGTAAAATATTACTGAAGAATTACAAAGTTTTTATGACTCCATTAAAATAATAGCAATTTTTAAATCAATTTTATTAGTATTCGAAAATGAATGTAGACTACACTCTTAAATGTTCACTTAAAGCTTATAACATCATTTACAAAATATTTTACTTCATCTTGAACTATATTTATAACCATCAAACAATTTTCTATAATAACGATAAAAATTATTGTTTGTTACATTTAAAAATTGATTTAACGATTTCAATTGTTTTGCAATCTTCAAATCATAATAAAATACACGCAATATACTTTTTATGTAAATTATTTTTTTTTATATTTTAACAAGATCGATAAAATCACAAAAACTTCCTAACTGCAAGTATTTCGTAGAAAAACTGTAGAAATCATCATTGTTACAGCTATTTTTAAATGTAAACAAACTATAATAAATCTATTGCAATTTTCCTCACCACCTTAGCACATTATGAAAATCGATTTCATATCAATTTAATGTTGCATGAGGAGTTGCATATGGCGCTGTTTTTATTGTGGTTTCCGGAGTATAAACTTTAGGCCCAGTCCATTATAATACGTAACTGAACGAAGTACAACAAG